CATTTCTATGCCAGATATTGCTACTAGCAACTGATATTCCATCACTGGAATAACTGTAGGAGCTGAAATCATCATTCCTCGTGACACACACGCAGAGAGTCGGCAAGAATCCAGGCACCTGTCTTCAGGCACTGCATTACCCTGGGAAATGCAAGGGACATAGCTCTCTTTTTCTCAAGCTAAGGAAACTGGCTTTCTTAAGAATTGTTGTGGAGGTCAACTATCAAACAGCGTTTAATTGTTGTTGTTCCAGTTCCTTTAGGTGCTAAGTGCTACACCATGCTTACTGCCTATGTCTGTGCTTTCTCCCTGTCCCTCCATTTCACTCTCTCGTTAGTACTGTCAGCTCATTTCAAACTAACTTGAAAGCGCCTTCTCCTTGCTGTCTAGAGTTGAGTGGAGCTCAGGTGTTGGACACCTTATGGCCATCGGGCCGTGCTGAGTGGGAGGCTTTGAAGAGGAAATATTATCTACTGCTCGCCTAACAAAGTAATGGCACATCCAGGGGAACAGACTCCTGAGACAGAAAGTGGCTTACTGAGGTAAGGATGCTTCTGTGAGTTCCTTCCCAGTCCCATCTGGGCACAGTGCTCTTCTGCCCTTCTGCCTTCCACTGAGATGATAAGGTCTCACAAGGCATGTGCCCCTCAACGCCAATACTAAACTTCACATCTTCCAAAATGGGGAGAGGCAAAGACATTCCCCATGGTATATCCAAACTTTGGTGTTCTTTTTTAGAAAAACAAGCAAGCTAAGATAAGCAGTGCTTTTCAACCTTTACCCATGCTTCCACCTGGGCCCTGCTTCTCAGTGTCTTCTCAATTTCTCTTTGGTGTTTCGTATCGCCTTTTGAATGTGGTTTACTATAACCACCATTTTCTATGTTCTCAAAGTCGAACAAGGGAACAGCAGAACATTCTATTATACCTCAGCATTTTATCATAATAATACACCACCTTTCCTAAATAGCAAGCCTCGGCTTCCTATATGACTTTGGATTTGTTGTTTGGGGTCTTTTTAGTATCAAGCTTCAAAAGGTAATTATAACCTACCCCCAACAACATGAAATTTCTTCACCTTTACAGAGTCAAAATGTAATAGCTAGAATTGGATAGGAATTGTGCATGCAGGAGTAATCTAAGGGTAGCAGTCCCAGACAGCCATAGTTGAAAGTGCCACCCTAGATGCACAAACAAGCGCCACTGGTCATGTCGCTTCTCCATTTGTACCTCTACTTCCTGGTACAATGATTATACTAACTAACACCTCTTAAGTTTGTTGTCAAAATTTAATTAGCCAATGAATGAAAATGGCTTCAGACAGCCATTATCCATTGGTTATGGCAAAAGAGATGCAAATTATTAAAAAAAAATCACTTCACTGATAGGGCAATGTTAACCAAGGGAACTTTTGAGTTTGGTTTACTAACATCCAACAAAAAAACTTTGGTGCTGTTCTGAGCATTTTATACCATCATTCTTCAAATTCCCTTTATCTAATGAATTTTCTGACTGTGGCATCATTTTGAATTTGCACTGGCTAAGTGTCTGATTCTTTATGTACCTTGGTTTCCTTATTGGTTACTGAAGCACAGCACTCTTCGGCCCTGCACAGCCTGGCACCCACATATTCTCTCAAGAGTTTTCTATTGCATAGAGCAGGCTAAGGAAAAGGGGAGCCCAGAACATATGACAGGAAATTGCATGGGCTTTTAGAGAGATCAAATGCATAACCAAATAAAAGAACAAATGAGGAAGAGATAGAGAGAGGGGCATGGAGCTAGACTTGAGAAGCATTGCAACAAGGAAAACAAAAGACGACCTGTGAGCTAAGGAGATGGTAAAAACTTTTTGTGCAAGTGACAGGAACCTAGTGCAAGTCCTCAGAAAACACAGAGCAACACATGGCCACATACCTATAGCCCCAGAACTTTGGAGCAAAGAGGTAGGTTCTGGGAGTTCACTAGCCAGCAAGCTTCTGGCACAGTCAGATCGATAAAGTATATCCAATATCCTCTGGTGGCCTCCTTATGCATAGGCACACATGTTTACACACACACACACACACACACACACACACACACACATAATGCATACACGCAGGATGTTAATTAAAAAAAGGTAGTGAAAGTTGGTAAGTTGGTTGTAAAAGAGAAAATACACCTCTGATTAACTGATTAGATAATGAAGCTCCAGAAAATAAATTAGGACAATTGAAAAAAAATGTTGTTAGCCATAGTTATAGAAAATATAAAGCAGGCATGGGAAAATGGCAGTGACTTGACATTTAAATATGACTAGTTTTGAGGTGACTTTGAAAAACCAATGTGACCAATGGTGGCCATTCCCATTCAAACCACCATAAAGTCACTGAAAGTGTGTGTTGAAGGTTGTAGCCCTCTCCCAACCTTTAATACATGGAAATGAGGTGAAGAGCTCTGAATTACTTTGCATTTCTGCCAAAGGATATTGCTTCAGCCAAGAAGGTCATGGACTCAAATTTCTGCAACTATAAAACTAAACATTTGTATTACTACGATGATTACCTCAAACACCCATTTGTCACAGCAACAGGATGTTGGCTGACATAGGACAGGAAGTTGAGTCATCTTTGCTGCTGTTGTATGCTAACAATTTGGGCAAGCCAATAGAACTCACGGGAGACAGTCAGAAGAGTCTGATGGAACAAGTTAGAAAAAGCCTGAAATTCTGTAAGCAGAGCTATAAAGTTCAGTGCAGAGTTGAGCTGAATGTAGCTAGGAACATGGACAGTACCAATCTGATGGTGGGGTTTCAGATGGAAACCAGAACTCCACTGGGAAATGGAGTAAAGGCCTTGCTTCTTATACTATGCCAACTAATTTGAGGCTTTTTGTCCATGTTACAAGACTTCTTGGTGCTTCGAAATTGATGATAATGGACTTGTTTGTTGACAAAGAAAATTCCAAGACAACAAAACACTTAGTTCTCAGCATGAGCATCACTGGCTGCTTTTAGTCAAATATAAGGAAAAAAAATTGAGATCAGAGTAAAGAAAGCAGCAAGACTGGGAAATTCCGCAGCTTGTCTAGACAAAGTGGCACATGTACAATTCAGCTAAGTGAGGTTAGCAGAGAAAAGAAGGAAACAAATTCCCAGTATACATACAGAAGAGGATAGACACACTGTGAGCACCTCAGCTCCCACCAATCACAGCTACAAAAGTGCAAAGGTGAACACTTATGTCAAAAGAGATGGCTCTTGGGGTTTCTACTCACTCAGTACCAACTAGAGAATCATTTCCCCAAGTTCAGCTATCCAAATTGTACAGTCTGAGTGGGACCAGGCAGCTTAAACTGTAAGTAAACTTCAATGTCCACTATATGATACTGTTTTTCATGTGTAGGCAGAATATAAGACTTGAAAGGGAGTCATGAATGTTCCCAGGCAGATTTCAAAGGCATACCTGGCTAGCTGGGTCAGAATCCTAGCATGCAACCCCTGAGAGGTGAGTGCATGGAGCTGAGGTTTCCATAAAGACTAGAAGGCAGGAATGCAGAGCTTTGGGGGAATACTGTAGGCAACAAGCAAAGCCAGCACAAGGGGCTGGTCCTATGGACTGCAGCCAAGAAGACCATAGAGCGTGGGGCACCCCAGCCCTTAAAGTCCATATCTGGTGTCCGAGTGCTACAGATGCTGACATAAGATATTAAGGATTCTTCCCTACTGCATTTTATTCTTGCATTGATCTAATTCCTTTCTATGGCTTGAATTCTCTCCATTTTGGTATCACTATGCCTGGGATATGCACAACTCTTTGTCTTTAGAGGACTCACCCTTTGGTTTGCCTGTGTCTTCCAAGCAAGCAACATAGAAATAATTAACGTTTTATGACTCTTATAGGTGGAGTAAATGTGAATTCTCAATAGCCATGACATTTTGGGGGACAGGGGCTGAATACTATAAGCTCATTATTACCCAGAAACCCATGCATTAAAGATTTGATTTTGAAAGTGTTACTGCTGAGAAGATGTGAAGTCTGGAGAGAGACACTGAAGTCTCTGGAGATGTGACCTTCAATGGGCAGCAGCTCCAGCCACTCCCTGCTTTCCTTAACCTCCCAGCAATGGGAAAAATTGATCTCCCACTATGTGTTACCTCAAAGCAAGAGAGCTAACCAAGCATAGACCAAACTTCTAAAAAACTATAACCCCAAAGAAACTCTTTTTCTTTATAAATAAGTTGTATTGGGTTTTTGTTACAGTAATGAAAATCTCACTAAACACACATACGAGAAACTGCTGTTCAGCATCACACTGATGGTCCATCATCACCAATAGTTACAATATTTGAGATGTTCTTATGTCAGTCGTGTATAAAAAACATTTTTTTTCCCTCAACTGCCTTCCTCACCGTTGAGACCATCGATAAGGCAACTAATGAATGCATTCTGTGACAGCAAGTAGGAAAGTTGCCCCAGGGAAGTCTGACCCCATTAAAATGATCTGCTGCCTTTCTGAGAACACCAGCAATGGCCAGGAAGTGAAAGGTACCATCCCCAACTGTTTCCTTAAATGTACAGATGCTCTAGAAAATAAGATAATTGAAACCTTTCATCTGCTTCGCTTTTGTTCATTAATGCATCTTTATGTGAGGAAATTGATTTCCTGTTTTATTTCCAAACAAAAAGTTACTTACCAACAAAAAGAAGAAGAGGAAGAAGAAAAGCAGGTGATATTTGACAATAAGTGCCCACCCCCTTTCTAATCCTTTGGGCTTGCATTTTATGAAACCTCAACCGTTGACTTCTAAAAGTGAGATCAACTCTACAAACACAATGTACAGAAGGAATCAAGCCAACTGGGCAAGTCTAGGGTCTACAATACTGCATGAGAAGCTCAGGAGTAAAAGTTCAGTAAAATCAAACAATAAGAAATTCAGCTGAAAACAGGTAAACTTCTTCAGGAAATAACCCATGCTTTATCTTCTGTACAGTGATTTTGATGTCATGGTGTCTCTTACCTCTCTCCATTCTTTATTTCCAACTGCTTGTATATATAAGACACAAACTACAAAAGATGAAAAAACATACACATATGTAAATGTCTAGTATAAATGTACATGATTTCTATCTCAACTATCCAAAAGTTACATAAACAGAAAAAGCTTAATTCCAGAAGGAAATCAGATGGATTATTAAAATTTCAAAGAATCAGAATGTAAGCCATCTCAACCTTCAGCATTTAATATGAATACATTTCAGCATACAGGGAATATTGCCATTGGTTGATAATGCATTTACATTACAGAATAGGTTTGCTATATTTTGAAACCATACATACTTCAATAATTTCAAATATCGGAGTTTTAACAGGTGTGTAAAACATTTTCAAGACACTTAAATTGCTCAGAGAAACCTCAGAAGTGACAAGCTGAGGCCAACAATCCCTACACTTACATCAGCAACCCATTCTCACTGTAAACAGGTGAGGTGTTCTATTAATCGGTAGTCTAAAAAGTGGAGATTAAGGACTTTACAGAATGATGATGAGCAAAGAAGAATCTTATCACTTGTCAAATGAAGCACAAACATTTAATTTTACTACAAATGTCAATGTCTTTTTTCATTAAAAAAAACAAACAAGCATACAAATAGAAATAGTGAGTTTTACACAACTTTTGCAAGACTAAGTAAAATGAACAGACTATTTCACTTACTTGGATCAGACTTAGAAAATGTGTCTCTATCAAGAAGATTTCTGTTAAATAAAACAGAGAATGCTAGTTAATTACAAAACCAAACACTTAGATTTAGGTAACTGCACAAAACGTACATATGCGACCACATACTCAGAACTAGACGTGAACTCCCTGAAGTCTCTCGTTTACCCACACTGGTTATCAGTGGACTAGAAGTGGCGTGATTCCTTTCCTCGTCCTGCCTTACAGTTGACCAGTGATACAGCTCTTCACGCTGTGGAACTGGAATGTCTGTGCGGATGTCACGGCTTCAGGTTTCCTTTGAAGTCACCACTGAGACCCGGCTGGTGCCTGGCCACTTCCCAAACTGAAATGTGAGTCAGTGAACTAAGACAAACTCAGGGATCCAGAACATGTGACCATCTGGGCCTACAGACCAGCATGCGGTAGGAAGCCCTTCTACTGACTCTTGTTTTGTCAGCCCTGAAGGGTTGTTGGGGACAATCTTTTAGTCTGGAAATTTCTGATCAACACATAGATCCTGTTTAAGCAATCTTTCTAATAGGGGAAAATATCAAACAACTAGACAAAATGAATACAACTACTGATTTAAATTTTTTTTGCATATACGTTCACATTTATAACAGAAAAATAAATGTAAAACCAGAAAATGGGCATTGTGGTATCCTGTTATCTTCAACAGCAGCAAGAAAATCATATACACTATTCTCAAAAATAATATTTCATTATCATTAGAAGATTAAGTTCAGACGCTGGGGCCTTGGCTCAGGCAGTAAGTGTTTACTACACACTCCTGAAGACCTGAGGTCACACAGGTCAAAGGCCAGGTGGTGTAGCATGTGCCTATATGCCCAGCCCAGCAACAACAGAGACAGGTGGGTCCCCCAAGTTCCACAGCAAGATAGTTTTGCTAAATCAACAAGCCCCTGGTTCTGTGAAAAGGCCTGTGTCCAAAAGGTCAAAAAAAAAAAAAAAAATGGAGGAAGATATATCACTGTTGACCTCTCTGGCTTACACACAAAATCACATACAGGCATGGGCACCTACACACACACACGCACACATGTCAAAATGTAAGAGTTGAGTTCAGTATTCTATGACTAATAAGGCAGGCAAGTACTAGAAATGTTACAATTCATACCCTTCTCAAATTGATAACTTTAAGATGTATCCTTTTCTTTAAAACTAGGATATCACCCCCTGTTCAAAGGCAGCCCATTGGCTGCTCAGTTTCCAAGTGGATGCCATAGTAAGGGGGTTGGGGGCTGTCTCTGACATGAACTCAATAGCCTCTTCTTTGATCACCTCCCCCAGGGGTGTGCAGCCTTGCCAGGACACAGAGGAAGATGATTCAGCCAGCCTTGATGAGACCTGATAAGCTAGGCTCAGATAGAAGGGGAGGAGGTCCTCCCCTATCAGGGGACTGGGGGGATTTGGGGGGGGGGGGGGGCGGGGGGGGGAGGCAAGGGGGCTGCAGCGGGAATACAAACAATAAATTGTAATAAACAAATATATAAATAAAATTAAATATTTTTAAAAAACAGGATATCAATGGTGATAATCTGACTGTCCTAAAGCTCAAATTTTTACTTCAGATCCAGCCTCCCCCCCTTTTGAATTAGCTATTTGCAATAGCAAACATTTCTTCGTTTATCACTAAGAATGAAAACTCTGATCTAGCTGTTTCGCTCCCCCACCTCACCCCCAGGCTGCTGCTCTTGAACCCTGTCTGTGCTGTCATCACTATCTGAGCCATCCTTTTGTCGGCACCAGTCCGACGTTCCCTCTTATTTTAATTCTCAAAAGCTACCACTTCCACTGTAGCCATCACTCAAAAAATAAAGACAGTCCACTGAGCTGTGCTGCACAGCGGGGCCAACTGAGGCCACACCTTGAAGGACCCCTAGGAGCAAAACAGCGGACATGTTTGTATTTGAAATGAAGTCAGACTTTAAAAGGTCTGTGCTACACTGAAATCAAATGAAAACAACCCTCTCTTTCTCTTAGGCAGACGCCTAGACTCCAGCAGTAGTTGACAAACAGTAATTCAAAACATTTCCATTTGAGGAGGCACTATGACACTCCATCTGCAAAGTAGTTTTCCACTTAGTAATAACTCCCTGGCTCTCCCCGTGGCTCCTACTTTTGCCCGTTAAGATTCTACAGCACTGATAACTTAGCTCTTTCTTTCAGAGTTCATGAAAACAGGAGAGTACAAGGCAGTGTGCCAAATACATATTTTAAAGACCCTAATGTAATTCCAGTGCATTGCTCACATAAGACTATCTGCAATCTTTACTTAAAATATATATAAAATAAAGATTTTTTTTTTTAAATCAGCAGGAAGGGTAAAATCCCATAACTTCTATAATGTGAACTTGACAACTGAGATTTAATTTTCTAATTCTTCCAAAATATAAATTGTTCTCTACCAGGGTCATACGAGTAGAATACAACAGAGATCATCTGACTTTGAGTTCCTGCAAGGCTATTGTGCTCACACATTTTGAAAGTTCAGAAAAGACAAATATTTTTTATTATGTATAGAAAGCAAGTGCTCAACAATTGCCAGACTGCACCCCCACTCTAAACCTGCTCCAGATAGGTACAAAATATCGCACTTGACACACACTTTATTAAAAAGAAAGTCCACTCGTTTTAATTAATATATGGAAGTAGAAAAGATCAGATTGAGTGAGGTAGCCCAGACCCAGAAAGACAAAGTTTCATGTTCTTTTTAATTAAAGGCTCCTGACTCCAAATCTTCAGATGTGAACACATCTCCTGGAGTAACTGCAGAAACCAGGAAAGTAAATTGAAACCATTGACAAAGTTGGCAGTCGGGAAGCACTAGAACAGAAATGACAGGGTACAAAGACTTTCACTGGGGGGAATGGAAAATGGGGATCTCTATTAGGGAGGGCAAGTGGAGATAAAGATAAAAGGAGGCTGAAGGGCAAAGCAACAGTAAATATGTCTGATAAAGTCACAGGGGATCATTAATTATCTACATAAAAGGAAAACCTGTAGTACAGAGAAGTCTGTGTATCAATACACATATATGGTTTAGATGAAATGTATCATCTGAGTTGAAAATGCTTCTTCCTAAAACCAAAAACCATGTAACAAAAACCCCAACAGCAGCCATAAGAAGTCCTCTTTTGAGTTGTTGGTCAGTATTGTTGAAGAGACTCCACTGACCATTGCTATTTTCCTTGGTCCCACCCTATCACCCCAGCTAGAAAGTAAACCCTATTATTGAAGACACCATGCACTTCAGAAACAGAGCCCAGAGCCCACTGAGCTGGAACTGACTTGAATGCCTCTTCCATGAAGATATAATGGCAGCAGAAGACACCATGCCACCTTCCAATCAAGGGAAGCAACCAATACTCCTATCTGGCTATGATGCATATGAACCATAACAATGACCAGAATAGCTCGATAAACTCATGAGTACAGTGGGGGCACACATATGTTGGTGGTAACCAACAGCTCTCTAATTGGACTTAAGGCCTATTTAACAAGAGGAAAATCACTGAAAACCTAGCCAACTACCTGGAGTCAGTGAAGTCGCAGAGCTTGGAGAACCTTCAACCATGGTTTACTAAACTAGCATAATCTCTAACTACATATAAGTATTTGTCCTTATAGCCACAGATAACCTCATCAAAAATTTTCTTTGCAACTAACAGAGATCATTACAGAGAAGCATAGCCAACCCCAAGCAGAGCTGTGGAGCCCAGCTATTCTCGATGGATACATCTACAAAACAACTCTTACACCTCCAGCTCAGGAACACTGAAGAAGAGAGACTGGAGGATGTAAGAGCTGGAGAACCAGGGAGGCTCCTGTGAGATTCTGTAATGTCAGAGGCTCTTAAAGCCTCACCAACCTCACTGCCAGAACATGAGCTGAACAAGCTCAACAACAGTACTGGAAGGGGAAAGACTGGAAGGGGAAAGCCCAGGAGGCATCATCCCTGCACAAAGAACTGCAGACAACTAAGAAATTCTGAGAGAGAAACATAGTCTTCCCCGCCAGGGAAAAGCATACGAAATGGCCATTCGGTACCAAACAGTCAGCCTAGGAAACACACATACAAGTAGCAGTAGACATGCTGAGTAGGTCATATTCAGGAATATGTGTATGTGTGTGTTATATACTGCATTTATAGTTCATATACATGCACATACGTATTATATGTAACTATACATGTGTATATATGCATGTTACAACAGTTAATAAAGAAAGACGCCATGGATTTGAAAGAGTACAGAGGGATTTAAGGGAGCATTGGAGGGAGGGAAAGAAACTGGGGAAATGATATAATTATACCATAATCCCAAAAATAAAAGAAATAATTTTTAAAAGTCATTTTATAAATAAGAAAATTCAGTGGAAGCCCAGAAAAAGTAAGTGAATAAACAAGACAGACAACTCCAATAAGAAACAGCCTCATGATGCCAACTCTCTTGACTCCAGTCCCCTGTTCTTTATGGAGAGCGGGGTAGGGGGGCACTGTCTGGAGAATTCCAGAACAAACAACTTATTTTCTCAGAAGTGTTAGGAATGTTCAACTTGAGCCAAATAGTATAAAACAAAGTAAGTTCCCACCAGAATGCTAATATGAAAGGCTTTGCTTACAGAAGAGAGAAACTTAGCAAGAGGTCAAAGTAGACTGCATTTGTCACATAGAAGCACCTTTGTTTCCTGTGCAAGGCGCTTCACACACACACGTACACACATGGACACACTCACACACATGCACACATACCAGGCATACACATACATCCATGAATACACAAACACACATGAACACACACACCACTCAGGCACATATACACATACACACACATGCACACACACATATATGCACACATACACACACATGCACACACACATATATTTGCAAACACACACACACATGCACAAATGTATATGTACACATACATACACGCACATACATATGCACACAAGAACACACACATTCATACACACAAGCACACATACACACACACATACATATACACATCAG